CCGAGAAGCTTGTTTCCAACGGATCCTAAAAATTGAGTTTTTCTGGTTTATTTGGACGTTTTTATTATGTTGGTTAAACCTGCCATTGCTTATCAACAACCCTACCCTGCTAACAAGGTGGCTAACCTCACACTGTTTTACCAGTGGCGCGTTACCAAAGTGGTTATCTCCACCGTGGGTATCGCACTAATACCCTTGCCATAAAATCGGCGTAAATAGAACATAGTCGAAACGGTAACGAGGATGCAGGTAATAGCATCGGATAATTACGGTGCATATATTTATAGCTGCACGCGCGCCTGAGATCGGGCTAAATAGAGCCTGGACAGTGATGACTTTGCACGATTAGCAGTCTATAATTTATTATAGTACACGGTTTGATTCACGTTCATCGTCGCTATCAGAGTACATGTTATCAAGAGCTAATAATACCTCTTGGTATTATTAGCTCTTGATGTTATTACAGATACATGTACGCGCGCATGCACGCCCTCACACACGCGTGCGCACGTACACACACCGCACGCACACACGCACGCGCACGTACACACACGCACGTACACACGCACGCATCCACGCATTCACACACGCGCGCGCACGTACACACAACCACACACACACACACACACACACACACACACACACACACACACACACACACACACCACACACCCACACGGCACACACACACACACACACACACACACACACACACACCAACATGTATCACACGTGTGTCTGTAAGTGCGTTTGCCTTGCGTATACGCGCGTGTGTGTGTGTGTGCGTGTGCGTGGGTGCGTCGCGGTGTTTTACGTGCGTGTAAGTCTGTTTGTGTCGGCTGCATGCAGCTGTAGGTGACTGAGACGCGCTAGGCCGCCTGCGGTGCACCAGCAACGATGATGATTACGTTATTCTGATCTATCATTCCGACACTACACCGGAAAGGTTAGACAACATCATCTCTAGCCGGCCATCACAAATATATCAAGAGCGTATAAGAAGGCCTTTTTAATACGCTTTGAATATATGCAATATACATAAATGTGTGTGGGGTGTGTGTGTGTGTGTGTGTGTGTGTGTTGGAGGAGAGAGGGAGGGAGAGAGAGTGATCATAAGAGGCCAGGAGAGAGAGAGAGAGAGAGAGAGAGAGAGAGAGAGAGAGAGAGAGGGGGGAATGATGAGGTGAAAGAGGGAGAGAGGGAGACAGAGCGACAAAGATGGAAATAACACCAGAAGCTGGTAGGCCCCCTATTTGCCAAATAAATAGTTCAATCTACACTATAGCTCGATAGCGTGAGCATTGATGATATAATGTGATGGCAGGTATAGTTCACAGAGAAGTGAATGACGTCTTACGCGCGTGTTGCGTGTTATTAAAATTATATATTTATTGCTGTAAACTCCTCCGCATTATGTCGGTATTCTGAAAATAGTCATAAATCTATAACTTAGACACGTTAACACCGTGCACGGCACGCAAATAATTTATCACCATTAGAGGGACTTCTCTCCAACGCAATTAATCTTAATAATGTAAATGACGTCATCAAAGGAAACAAGGCCCTTATTGAAAATTGTTGAAAATTCTAACTGCGATTTTTTGTTTATGCCATATTGGAATGTTAGTTTTTCCTCTCCGGCCACATGAAGGCTAGAAACTTTTTAATTCGAAATCCGCAATGTTGATCTGGTCATTTGATCAACTTTATCCTCTTCTCGCCTTCGCCATAGTCCGCCTGACGTTGACAAGTATTTCTATGAGCTCATGACACAATAAAGTTTGATATAGTAGATGTTGTAGACGAAGGATATTTTGCTAGCAGCTACGGAATTCCGCGTAGCAATAGCAATATCTGACGCATACTGGTTGCGATAACGCCATGTATCAGCCTATCGGTAGTTTACGCGGTATTCGCGGGGCTTTACCAGCTAACTAATGTAGATTATGCGGGTTTTTCGCCGGGGTGGTTATCAATCGAGTAAATAACAGACGGTAAATAAAATGTCGTTTGACGGGGTGCATGGTGTCTATGTGACCTGTATATAGTATTGCTGTGGTAAGCCTAGCATAATTTCCTTGGTTGTCAGCATTACGCCTATTCAATGATGTGAATGATAGCCCACTGGCCGAACCTTGAGGCGCATCAATGTTATGGCGTCCATGAATATAAAAATACAAGAGCACGAGCGAAGAAAACGTCAAGTGGCCATTTTTATAGGTTTTTTTAAATTTGTATTTTACTTATTGTTTTCCTAATTTATAGCTCATTAGTGGCGTGGAAATCGTGCTGCTCGACTTAATAACACGCACTGCTGCACTAGGCGTCATCCCGGATCCGACTGTAGGTGCCTACAGCGCCTCCTACATCTTATTGCTGAATTGTTGTCGCCTCCTCCAGTCGGTCCTTTCCTGGATCTGCCAGTGTTTCGGTCCAGCCGCACATCCGCCCCGCCCCACCCTCGTTCAGCATGCCATCCCTGACAGTAATTAAGCGAGTTAAAAATCAAGTTTAGTTTTAATTGACGACGATATATGGTTATTAGAACGAGATTAACATTACGTCTTATTAATATTCCGAGCAGGAAATCGTTCGATATCAATATGTAACTGTGGAACAAGAATGTATACGAGCTAAAATGTAATTAAATAGCATATTAACATATGAATGATTGCGTATAATGAATGAATAATGAAGAGCATAACAACCCCTAGATTTACTCCGTTATTCACTTACGCGCAATTAATACTATTTGCTATATAACTCGATTAAACAGATTTATGTTGTCATAAAGGTAATCGATCTGTTACTCACAGAAACTGCAAACATTGCCCAGAATTAATGGAAACCACGTAGAAAGTGGAAAACACGCGAAATCAATGTTTGCATATTCTACCGCACGTCGATTGAATAATCCATAAGCTATTGCTTTACATATGAAGTTGTTGCTGGGGTCAGTAACCAGGGATGCATGCTACACAAATTCCTAGTATAAGGGCACAATTTGGTGACCCTATTTGAGTAAGGACGAGGAAAGATATTTTCTGATAAAGATATGTGGGATAAAATAAGGCTTATTAGATGATGTTTCAACTTACTTATTGCATTTATTTTAGGGTTATAAATCATATTTGGTGTTTCACAATTTGTGTTAATATCGTTCCTATATACGTGAGAATGCGCTCTCAAGTTTAAATATTTAATTTTAACCAAATGCAAAAACTGCTACTTGGAATGCGCCAAGACAGATCTGACCTTATCTTACATTATCGGGGCGTTCTCGAAAAATAACAGTTAGTGTAAACCTGTGAGAGATATTTTCTTATCAAACTACTCGTGAGCATGTGATATCTAGTTGATAGTTTATGCAATGACGCACGCACGCACGCACACACACACACACCACACACACACACACACACACACACACACACACACACACACACACACACACACACACACACACACACACACACACACACACACACGCACACCCACACATACCAACACACATATATATATAGATATAGATATATATATATATGTGTGTATTTGTTTACACATAAATTTTTACATATAGGATCAGGAGAGTCAGGGAAAAGCACAATTACAAAGCAAATGAAGATCATCTTCATCAATGGATTCGACGATGAGTAAGTGGAACCATGAACATGTGTACCTACACAATAGTATCATAAGTGAATAAAAATAAAAATCCGTTTTTATTCACCCCCTGATAGTGCATATAGTGCAAGCACATTTAGACATATGGTGCATACATGTAGTGTGTGTATATTCATTCGTTCATATAGAATATGTGTACATAAGATAGATATATTCATCGTGTAAAACAGCGTGGAGGGATGGCCTTTCCGGCACGGACAGCACTATCATGTTATGCACGCTATTTATATCTACTATCGTAAAGTACCCATCGTATCATGTATAGTACTTACGAACAAACAATTTTCTGGCGAGTTCTAAACTGAGAAAATACAGTTACACGGTTTTGTTCACTATTTATAATTCAATTCGTGTAATATGCGCTTATTTTAACATTCCGTTCGATGTAAATAAAAACCCGAGCCATCGATCATTTTCTATATTCAGTCTTTTTTATGTTTTTATCTACTATATTGACTATATACTGCTCCACTCTACGATTTCATCAAGTAAATTGCAGATTGTTGATCTGTATAGTGTTATGTTTTAGTAAATGCGTTTTATGCTGACAAAAAGTTTTTCATTACTCATTAAACTGTGACGTATTTATTTTTAAAGATTTATAAATATACTTATTATGCTATGCTCTCATATATATGCTATTATACATACTAGTTAATATCATTAAGCTATAAATATATACGTTCACGGTATGATTGTAATTGCAAAATTAATTTTCTAATATTTCGCTTAGGGAAAGAAAAGCAAAAATCAGGGACATCAGGAATAACATATTAGAGTCACTGCAGGTAAGGCTACCGCTACATAAATACTACTACATATCGGGAGGGCCGTAGCTAGCGGTGGGGTAAGGGAGCAGTTAACACTACAGATGTAGATACTGTTGCAGAGGTGTAGCGGATATTTTTTTGGGACGCGGGATTGGGCCATGCTAATTATCTGGAAACGGGAAAATAGTCCAAATACCAGAAAAAGTTATCGTGCTTCGAGAACAGAAGTCAACCGGAAAAGCCCTGAATTACGACTTTATTGAACTTAGAACTACGAAATGACATATCACTTACACGGCAAACTGGAAATGGACCCCCCCCCCCGTTTTCCCCCCATTACATGCTCAATGGTGAGTTCTCCACAATTAGCTATTAAGAATGTAAACCGCACGTGATTTTATCAAAGGATCAAGGCCAGTGAACGGAAGCGCATTAATCTGCTAATTAGCGTATACGTGCTTGGCTGTCCTTAAGCCCGGCGCACACGTGAGTAATTTTACTCAAGTAAAATGACGCACGAGTCAAAATACTCACGCGTAATATTTTCCGCGTTCGCCGCACACGTGAGTAAAATTACTCAAGGTATAAGTGGTAATGCAGATCACGTGACTGTGCGCAGCCAATACTGGCGACACAATGATTTAAACGCATGGTGTGAATACCAAGTTTTGAGTAAAATTGTACTCAGCGCTTCCGCGGCGCACACGTTGAGTAAAATGACGCTGGTCAAATTATCAACGAAGAATCCGGCTGCACCCGTGAGTGTACTTGTTACTCAAGTTAAAATAACGCTATTGAGTCATTTTACTCACGTGTGCGCCGCGGATTTTCGTTGAGTAATTTGACGCATGCGTCATTTTAACTCAACGTGTGCGTGCGGATTTTCGTTGAGTAACTTGACGCATGCGTGCATTTTACATCACGTGTGCGGCGGATTTTCGTTGAGCTAATTTGACGCATGCTGTCATTTTACTCACGTGTGCGGCGGATTTTCGTTGAGTATTTTGACTCATGCGTCATTTTACTTGAATAAAATTACTCATGTGTGCGCCGGGTTAAAGCCCGACATTAACCGGGCTTAATTACACGACATTAGCTGCGTTGCTTAGATTTCACTAACAAGCTTTCCTCCCAGCACAGCTATTCTGCCTTACGCGGGCGACGTTGCTCACCTTGTGGCGGCGAGATAAAAGCATTTCTACAATATAGGTGCGAACTGCGCGGTGAATCGCGATGGAGTGATAATAACAAGAGCGTATTAAGAAAGGTACGCTTCTCCTTCTTTCGCTTCTCCTTTTTTACGCGTTTTCCTTCTTAATACGCTCTTGATAATAAGGTCACACCAGCAGTGGCCGCGCAGGGGCCCGAAGTCAAGCGTATCAATCACTAGAACGCCAATGTCCCAGTGAATAGATGCTAAACGCATATCAATATCCAGATCGTACCATTCGATGTTCGCAAGCCACATGACACCCTGTTGCCGGAAAAACCATGCGATAATAGTTTTGTTATAAGTCAGAAGCAAGTAGTATGATTACCATAGGGCCGACAGTAAGATGTGTGTTACGCCGAAAGAGAACAAGGACAATTCCACATATTAGCCTCCGTCTACCTGTGATTTATTAAGCGTGAATCAATAAAAATGAAATCAAACATTATTACATCAAATATATTATTGAATATTCACAATCCAGAGCAGAACACAGATATTTATAAAGAATGCGTGCAAAGATCTTGCCATTTTCACAAAACCCGCTGCAAACAAATGCCAGGGTAGCATACTGGTAAGGATAATAATTTAACGACATTTTTTACGCAAAGTTACGTTTTACCAGATCTGATATACTGTCATCGCTTCCGGATCAACCTTCTCGCACATCGTGGGACTATTTGTGGCCTGAAAGGGTTATATGCACGGGGGCAGCATCTCATAGCTACATAGCTCATAGTAGCATTTATTCTTTCATACGGGCAATATTGGTGTTTTTGTATAATGGCACGCAATATACTCGTAAACGCGACGTAACTTGCAATACGCAAATAATGCGTTATTGTGTGTGTGTGTGTGTGTGTGTGTGTGTGTGTGTGTG